AGACAGAAGAGAAAGAGGGCTAGGTGAACTGGCCATTTAACTGCCTGGTTTGAATGTGGAGGAGCAGCAGATTGACTGTGATTGCTCGGCTATTCAGTCTGTCACAGTGAGCGAACCCAGATATCCTGTGGAGAAAACTCATTTTGGCCTCTTGGGTCCAACACGCCTCTGTTCCAGTCACTGCCACAAGCTTGTAACCACAGTGAGAATGACGGTAAGCTTTGAATGTTGTTTTACGGCTCAGGCCACTCTCAGAAAACGGTAAAGAGGAACTGTAGCCTACTTATGATAGATTCACCTTCAGAAATACTAATATTTTAACATAGTACTAAAATCATATACACAATACATAATATTGAGAAGCTGGTTGTGCTACCTTTTTATATTTTTTTTACAAATCTGGATAGATCAATTCCTGTAGAGCTGTCTGTCTTGCTTTTAACTTCCCCTTGTGGTCTGGACAGGGACCAGACAGGGACAGAGTCAGAGACAAGGATTTGGACATGATTCCTCACTGGCTTCCCACCAACGAACCACCTAACTACCAATCACGTTACAAGGGTCCAAACTACACAAACTGTTACTTAGTGCCCTGATCTGTGTGCTACCTTAACTGACTCCAGCAACTGTCCCTTCAGTTCAGGCTGAACTTTTACCCTCTCACATATAAAAGTTGTAGAGACACCTGAACTCCTTTACCTGAGTTGGTGCTGAAAAACTATCAAAGTATGTAAGCAAGAGAAAACATGCGGGTTTTGATTGGCACAAGGAGCGCCAACAGTTCAAAACTTGCATCAGAGCACCTACAGAGAGCAGTGACGACACTCTGCAAAAACTCTTAAACGAGTGCAACAATAAAATTGACAGCGAACTCATCCACATCTGCAGTACGCTCACTTCCTTCCTACCACACATAAATACTTGAGGACATTTTTAATTGGAACATTAACAGGCTGCTTCATTCACTCTTCTTTAAATTTACAGATAAGTTATTCGGACAGTGAAGGTCACAGGAAGGAAGGTTCGGCAACATCTACTCTGCAACCAATGATTAAGGTCAGGAGGGTTGACAGAAAAACTCAAATGTCTTCAGTAAGCCAGGGACGTGTTTTCAAGTCAGTCATTGTGGGCATGCAGAACACATCCTGGTGAAACTTGCTGTCTGAAAACTCAGCAAGTACATCAAATGTTTGAAACTGACTGTGGGTCAGTACCTCTGCCCAACCACACTGCACAAGGTGGCTGTGTTCAATAAGAAAATGAACAACTACTAGCATATACTGTCAAATAAAAAACATAGAACTATACTTATGACCCTTGGGCAAATTAAATAAATTCAATTCAACATTACTTAGGAAATGTGGTCATGTCAGCCCTGAGAGAAAATTGGTTTTTATCTCAATTCTGAAAACATTACATTGAAATAATTGGTGGTACTGGTATTCTCTCTCAACACAAAGGCAAAAATAACTGCAGGTTCACTCATTTTTTATTATAATTCCTAAATTGGTTCACAATAAGTAAGAAAGTAAAGGTCATCTACATTCTTAGTGAACAGATTCAGCTTATCAGGCTAATGTTTAGTATTATGAAGTAATTAACTTTGGCTCCTTGTTGGAGTGATTTTAGACAATGCTGCAGTCTGCAGTGAACATTAATGCAGTCCCATTTCCCTTAATAATAAAGCTTTTAAGCCACAGCCTAATGGATACGATTCCTGCAACCTTCAAGAAATGTTTAGAAAGTTATTCCATTCAGCATTGACTTATGGAGTTAATAATGAACTCTACCATGCACACAATCAATTACAAAAACTGATGGCGTCATGCTTCAAAGACAGAGAGGAGAATATCAAATTGTGAGAACCAACTAGTTGCAGTGATTCTAAAGAACAATTAGAGGAACAGAAGAAAGGGGAACTCAAAGCAGACCTGATGGATGAGGCCAACAGACCAAAACTAAATCCCACAGCACTTAAAGCAGACTAAAGTGATAAACAGTAACAAGTGATTACTCCCAACTTAGATAAGAACACCTCTGAATTCCCACAATTCTCCTGCTGCATTGCACACCTGCACTCCACAGAATCTGATCCAAAGATTTTAAGGACTACTTTAGAACTTTTGTTTTCCCCTGACAGTCCAAAGGACCTGGACAAAGTCCAACTGGCAGCACATATAACCATCTCGGCTAATGATAAAGTAACCTGAATTTATGTTTATCTTCTAATCAAGATTAGAGATTCACCAGCATGCCCCTAGAGCACAATAATGTCTGCCTGACTCCAAACCAGCTTACAAAAAACGACAAGCATTGACAAGCCTGTACTTTTACTGTAACTGAAACTGACTGAATCTTGCCTCATACATCTTGGCAGTAAATTGACAGCAACAAATGGAAGACTGGAAATATGTGAATTGAGACAGAGAAGAGAGACATGGCCCTGGCAAACCATGCAGTAGATAGAAAAGCCATTCGCTGATAGTCACTCATTAATCTTTTAGGTTAGACACCCAGAATGTTTGCAGATTCTTCAGAGTAAAGTTTGATTCTCTTGACTCAGTCTAATGCTGAACTAGTGTGGTGGCAACGGAGCCTAATCTTCATGCAAAGCTGCTGAAACGTCAGAGATAATTATGCAATGAAAATCAACCCTAACCATTCAGTGAACCAGTAATTATTTCAATGCAGCGTGTCTGAACACTAGCAAGCAGAGCCTTCAAACATGACAGTATAATTGTAACTGACCAAGGAGACACGGGCAGGAAAAGCACTCATCATACAGGAAGTGATTGATCACATAATTGTAGTTAACTTCTACCTCCACAAGCAATAACATTTATTCTCAAGAGGGCTGATAAAAAGACAAAAAACTGCTGTTTCCCATTTTCCAGAATGTCTCCGGTCACAAGAGATACCTAATAATTACAGTACCATCTGTTCGTAGGTGAACAATGAGGCAGCGCTCACACATTATAATTGTACGCACTATTTTGAAACTTACAATAACATTAGCAAATTAAAAGCATTGTAATTATCTTGTGATGTGTTACACACCAGGGAGGTTCAGGCAAGCAGTTTGACTAGTGAAAAACATGCTCCCGGATTACTGATAGCTGCTTCTTATCTGTTGCCATGGCAGTTGTTGTAAACAGCAGGGTAGATAACAGTCTGGAGAAAACTTTTCAGAAAGTTTATACTCTGAGACATGTCATAAAAGCTGTAACACATAAATCTTGTACCTCATGCATCACCAGGGACAACATCTCAGGTTCTACAGCTCTAATAACTACAATGCTAAATAATGCGCTTATGATTCATTACACTGAATTCAATATGTGTTATGAGCAACACAACGAGAGTGGTTACAGCCATTAGTCTTCAGCTACATACAAAACAAATGAAACAACATGGACCGCAGTATTGATGACCATTATTAACAGCAAAATTATAGTCAATTCATTCACCCCCACGCTGCCAAATATCCCCAGCCGTAGAACAAAAGCCTTTATGCAGTTTTATGTGAAAATATAATTTGGTTGATTTTTCACATTGCATATTGCAGGCCAGCACTTTAACTCACACAAAGATATCACTTATGATTCTGAGATCACAAATGGCCAAGCATTCATTGGAATCCATCCGTGCTTTTACAGGCCTGCTTTTGCAAACATTTTATTTACGCTCTTGCACGTCAGACTTTGCCAATTTGTCATTCATCACAGCTGACATCTCCCATGAGCAGAATACGGGCGAGAAACCAAACCACTGCTATCTCTCTATGAAATATGAAAAATTTCACAATTTAAATGTGAGAAAGGGTTTTGGCAGAGTGCTGATGATGTGCGCACATGTGCATGCAAAAGCAACTTGCACCATGTTCGGCGAAAGATGAAATGTGTGTGGCTGAAGGGTAGCGGCTCCAAGCTTTTCAATCAATATCTCCAACGCCAGTGAGGCTGGGAGCCATTAGCACCAGTGAGCCAAGTGAAGTGACACTGATGTGAAATGACAGGGGCTTTCACAGAAGCCGTCCTACCGTTTCCCTCATTGTCATTCACACACTGCACATGCACGCGCGCACAGCTACCCTACATTGCAGCTACCCTCACCAGGCAACCGAGCACACTCGTACTGTTGTTTTGTTTCCAAAGAATCTCTACATTCATTCATTCATTTCAGCACTCATAAAGCCTCTCAGTTCCTAGAAGACATGTCTATATTATTTAGGTCTTGTCATCTTGTCATGATCCTAATCAGCCAATTACTGAGGGAGTTATGAAGTAAGATCTTCTAAGAAAGCTTTAAACATAACCCATGAATTATACTGGCAACCCGCATACATTATGAAGTGACAACTGACAATAAATAGTCCATAGAAAGAAAAAAGTGGACTGTTTGACTATGGCAATAAGAAAATCTATGGTGCAACACAAGCACATATTTTATAACAACAACAACAAAAAAAAAGCACTGTGGTGTTCCAAATGGGCGTTTCCTCATGCCCTAATCACCATATCCCTTTGTATCAGTGGTGCACAATATGGTTAAAATGTGATCTCGACATGGCACAGATGGTGATATGTACAGCTCACAGACACAGGCCTCCTGCAGGAGAAATCCTCTAAAAACTTAAGTTTCACACATTTTTTTTGCAAAAGATTTAATTCTGCATTTCACATCTGGAGTGAACGTTAATTGAGTTCATTATAAACTGAGCCAAGACTAAGAGGGGAAAATCTTGCTTTTACTCAAATCTGTGCTTATGTTTAACCCCCTCACTGCTAATAATCACCTACAGACTGTCACATGGATCAAGCACCTTCATAATAATCACTACAGCTGACTATTAATTGCATGCTAAGTTAGCACGTCAGGCAAATCGAAAAAAAAAGGGGGGGGGGGTACGCCTTCCTCTCCACTTTCACATCAAACTTTTTTTTTTTATTTTATTTTTTTTATTTTTTCGGCGTATCGAACATATGCCGACACTTGCCTACCTCTCTCCTCCTGCTCTCTGCCCCGGGTCTGGTGATGAGCGCCGTGTCACCGCACACCACGGCCGCGTCCTCCACGAACACGCAGTCCGGGAGCGACTCGTCCGCGGGGAGCTCGACCACCTCCAGCCCGAGCCTCGTCCCCAGGACCTCGACGTACGCCTCGTGCTCCCTCTGCGCCTTGGCCAGGTCCACCTCCGCCTGGCTGCTCCGGAGCGCTTCTTTGGCCAGGGACGCGGGGATTCCCCGGACGACGGCGTGGGTGTAGTGACCAAAACCTGCCATTAAACCAGCCATGTTTTGCTCTCCCTTCACTTGGCACGCTCAAATCTGAAAAAAAAAAAAAAAAAAAAAAGGACCGAAAAACACCCCAACAGACAACTCAGCGAATGAATGAGAGAAACTGCTATCAGTTAACTCGACGCTGCCTGCCTTGCTTGTTTGTTGCCTGTTAGTTTGTTGGCTTTGTATTCTTTATTTACAGTCGCCTGCTACATACACTGTCAGTCAGCCCTGCTCCGGTCTCCAGGCGAGCGACGGCGCTTCGGTGACGCGCACCGACCATCACGTGTAGCCTGCGAGTCTGTCAGCCGTCAGTGAGGCGTTCAGCCCCAACAAGTGACAGTCCGAAACACACTGAACCACACTGAACCACACTGAACCTATGGCTCAATCGATTTCACACTGCATCAACAGAGTAGAGCCTGCGAGTCAAACTCTTACAGGCTCTTTAAATGACGAGAGAAATCAACAGGATGTGCAGTTATGTGTCTCCATAGCACACTGCTTATTTCTGTAGTTGCTTATAGATAACACTTTATAATAAGGGGTTCAAATCATATACTTAAGTAAGGCTTAACTGAAGCACAACTAATGCATGACTCAGTGATTTAATGCAGACTGTATCATGGATTCCTGTTGCTCTCCATTAATAAATGCTCAATCCACTTTGACTTTATATATAAGTTCACTCTTAATATCAGTTATCAGTTAAGAATAAAATAGCTTCATGTTTCCATGAGAATAAATCCAATGATATGTTTGACACACTGTGGGTGGAACATAAGTATGATTTAACATCCCTTTATTAACAGCAAGCAACAGGAATTCATGATATATCCTGCATTTAATCACTGTGAATCGATTTATCAATAAATTTGAACAACAGGAAATTAATCATTAAACAATTATTTTGATCATCAATTAATAAATTCAGTCATTTTTCAAGCAAAAATAAAAAACACTACCTTGTTATGGCTCCCTTTCTTTGGCTTATGTGATAGTAAACTGAATATCTTTGGGTTTTAGACTGTTGGTTAGACAGAACAACTAATCTGAAGACCTCACATTGGGTTTTAAACACTTTTTTAGATCAAACAATTAGTTGATTTATCAAAAGGTATTATTTAGTTGCAGCCCTAGAATCAATAGTGACTGTAAGCTTTAGTGTTGTCTGTATTTGGACCACTGTAATATTCCTCCAGAAGATTTAGCTGCATAATAGTGAGACACTTTCTAGAATTAGGTTATTTTGAGTGCAAAAAGCAGTAAAGTGCAAGAATGTGCATATGTACAGGGATATATAAAAAAACATAACATTATAGATATATATAGGAAACTCTTCTGGTCATGTGAAAAGATTATATATGACATCTGAAGTATATATAGGTTATATATATTTGGGTTGCATCTTGGTTTGACAACAAAAGGAGCAACACTAATCAATGTCAGCTCCAACTAGTTCCCTGCAAAAAGGCAATAACTTAAAACAGTTGGAAACCTTCTACACTTAAACAATGAATGGACATAGTAAATGATATACTTGTAATGGGAAAACTAACGTTTCCCAGAGGAAAAAGAGGGAAACTTCCTAAAAAATGGGAGATCTTTACCACAAACGACAATGATGTTATCATATCTGGATCTTCATAAAGCTATAGACATACAGACAGTAGAATAAGAAATGTACACCCCACTCAATTCCCATGCATTTGTTAAAATACGTTTCAATAATTATAAACATAACGTAGAAAAGAAAGACTATAAGAGCACATTTCTATTCTTGAACCAGAAAATTTGGAGACATATGTCCACTTTTGGCAGACTTTATGAAATAATGTACACAAACTTCAAGGGCAAGGAATATATATCAAGGAGGATCTCTGCTTATCCAACAGTGTGAGAAGAGTGTGAAAGGAAGAGAAGTGTTGGTAAGTGTGTGTGCATGGGAGGAGGAAGGGAGGGAGTTATATTCCCTATGGTGCCATCTAAGGAAGGTTCTGGGCCCGGTGAAGCTGTCTGAATGGATGGAATGTTTCTTCAGACGTCCCAGAAGCACATTCTTCCACCGCGGGACCTCGGTTTGTCTTTTCTTGTTCCAAATTCACTCAATTATCCCCGACTGCTCTAAACATTCCAGGACATTCCAGGAGCCCCACATTCCTTTTTCCACTCCAGCCAGGATCGCCAACCACCACCACCCTCCTCCCGACACTAACACCTGCCCCCACCCAGACCTCTCCTTTTTTTCCATCATTCCTCATCATGGATGGACGTGGCCCAAGAAAAGACCCTCTCTTTTCTCCTTTCTCTCCATGCTGAGGAATTTGGGTTACTTTAGATGAAGGAAAGCCCTCATACTGTAGACACACCTGGCTGGTACATTGTGCGGCTATAAAAGAAATGAGTGAAAGCAGACACGATCCCCCAGCTGCGGATGAAGCGGCACCAAAAGCCGCACCTCTTATTTGTCTGGTATGATTGGACTCATGATGAGTTCCTAGTCGTCTAAAGTGACACAGTCATGCATGATTACACAGGTGTACAGTGCATATTTAACTCGAAGCGGTTTGGCACATTTATGAATCTCATTACCACGGAAAATAAAGCGATGAAATGATGAGATGAAATGATGAAATTGATGCTTATAGATGGAACCGATTGTATTTTCAGGCATTTCGATAGCAGCTACAAATGAGATAGATTGTTTATTCAGCTAAAAGATGACTCATGACATTCAACAGTAATGGAAAAGACTAATATTTATCATCATGTACTATCATTTTAAACTAGTTGGGCTATTTATGTGCACCTACGCCCACAACTGAGTGAAAGCAACATTTTAAATGGACTCTGGAGCTGTCAAAAGGCATTCTGGGAAATGCTTTGCAGTTAACAGGAAAATAGATACTATAAATACTAGTAGGTAGGTGAAACATACACTGCCCTGCTGCCATAAAACACTAAACTACACCGAATGTGTACAAATCCGCATCTGAAAATGGTTTAAAACAAATGCACTATTTACTCCTGTTGCTAATGCCAAATTTTCTTTGTTGGTTTTTGGTCTGTTCAGGATTGGTTGACAATAAGAAATTATAAAATATCTCCATCACTATCCTCTAAGTGCCGTATTTGTACAAGAAGCATCTAAAACTAGACAAAGCATGTTGAGCGAAAAGACCTGCCAAAAAAAGCTAATTACAACACTTTATCATTCAATAACTGAGCATCAGAGAGAGAATTTTCCCTAGAACATGTCTTTGCTATAATTAATTTGCACAGAAAAAACAGACAGGTTTCCACACAATTATAGCTGGTAATTACATTTTTTGTAATTTTTGGACAAAGACATATCCTCCCCTGATTTTTATGGTAGAGATTGGTATGTGAATGTTACTGTGTTGTCTTACTTTGCTTCCTCGCATCGCATTTCAACATCTAAAAACAGGTTGTGTTTGACATTAAAATGTGATATTGTGACATATCTTTACAGCCTCTAACTTTTCACCAGTCAGCAAATTATATCGCTTGTCTTGCTCTCTACCCTTCCGGCCGCTCAGGTTCACACCACAACAGCTGATTGGAGTCTATCTCAAATACACATCACGTTTGATACTAAGAAGAGACTAAAGACTTACTCAACGTTCAACAGGTTTTGTGTGCTATACAGTTAGCTTCACCACTCCACTATTGAAGCTCTTTACACATTCAGTGCAAGATGTGCATACTGCATGTTAACACAAGTGAGGGATACATGATATCTAGCTGACACAAGCACGTGTGTCCTTTAAAGTGGTCAAGAATGCAAAATGAGGAATATTATTTCTTGTTTTTACCAACACACAAATACATTTGATTGCACAGGATTTACTAGTTCTAACTAGCAACTTCTTAACTGGCAGTGGCGTGTTAAGTAGAATATCTTATTTACTGCACCTTTTTGAAACGTAACAATATTAGCGTTGCCTTACGTATTTTCCTGCACAGGGATCTTGCCATATCCCAGCACAGAGCTAGCTACAATCCTATTGAAGTGTATGATCAATAATATCACTAAAGACACTAATATGAGATAAACTACAGCCATGTATGCACAAGATCACAGATATAGGTGGACATCTGGCAGAATATTTCATAATTATTTGAAATAGTTTGAAGTAGGAATGTGCACTCTGCAGCTTTAAAGTCCCCCTCCACTCAGTAATACGTTTTTCTTCCTGTTCCTACAGTTGGATGTTTGAGCTTCACTGTGCAGAATGATGTATGAGCAGAGTTTGACACTAAAAGGATGTTTTCACATTCATCTGCCGAAAGTGGAAAGTTTCTGTGTGCTCACTGAAAATCAGACTTGAAGGGGCGGGGCCTACAAGCATAATATGTGACATCACAAATGGTTTGGAAGCAAATCCTGGTCCAATATTCAACTTCCCAAAGTGTGATGTAGAGACTTGAAGCCACCAGTTCACATATACTGAGAGTGGACTCCACAGTGAAGTAGTAGGAGACATATTGTGTCCAGCCGGAAAACTTAATAAAAAATGCTTTTTCAGATTCTGACATTTTTAACTGGGGGAAGAAATCAAACAATAAAAGATATGAAGAAACAACAAGATTATGAAATAACCATCCTCAAGGCCTTTTCATTTAATTATGTAAAGATAACAAAGATAAAATCATCAATCAAATCAAACATCACACAAGTCAAGCCTGGACCGCACCTTTTTTATATTTAAATAAATCAGTTAAATCTACAAAAGTTACATAAACAATTCCAATTAAATTGTTCTGCCTTCAGCCTTTTCAGATCCATATTTCTACAGTACTTGACTCAGTATTTTAAACTGTTGGCCTCATCTCTGCCCCCGCTCACACGAAAACGACCCATAACTCAGCAGACTTCCTGCTGCTCCATGTGCGGACAGAGAAAGGAAGTGTTGCTAGTACACACTGCATACCAGTTATGACATTTATCTTGAATATACTACAATGGAATCTGTTGTTCAAACATGACGGGGCTGTGCTTTTTCTGTTCCATCAGTCACTTAGACATAAATGGGGAGGCTAAGGGCTGCTCGCCACTGACTTCCTGAGAACCAAATCAGAGAGCTGCTGTCTCTACCACTCTGATTTTTTCCTGGTGGGAACTGACAATGGGTTTCCATTACACTGAGCCACAAAACGACAAAACACACAATCTCTCAAACTTTGGTGAACAATGAAATCGCTTAAGCATCCCAGCTGTGTGATGTGGAGCTGCTCAGATAACCGTGCAACAGAGCTGTGAGCATAATCCAGTGATAACTTCTGAAAAAGACAGTTCATTTTCGTTGGGCAAAGAGTGTGTGAGGTATGGGAGTTTGATGGGGGTTCTCAGACTGCCTTAGTGGAAACTATTATGCCGTGGCAATTGCAATACGGAGACGCATGTCCAGCTATTGGAATATTTCCTGAACTGAATGGGTAATTAAGGAATGAAGATTACTGTAATGTTATTCTCCAATGACGTACAATGACAACACTGTTTCCTATCGCCGTAACACACAGGGAGAAGCACACATGGAGCCATACATGCGCACGTAGACTCACATACAGTATGCACATACACAGTTGAGAGACTTTAAGTCAACATAACAGGGGACAGTCAAACAAAACATGACATAAGTCCAGAGACATTACAGACATTATAGGGATATTCCGGCAATTTATTATTGCTTCTGAGAGACATTCAAAATCGATGGCAGACCTTTCTTGGCTTGTATGGGTCATGTTCCAAAAATGACATTTTCCCATAATGCAACCACTAGGATGTTTTCATTAAAGCATCGCTGCCTGGTAAACGTCGATGTACACAGTTTGTAACACAGGCTTTCTGTCAATATATTTGTCTCCAAGCCCAAACCAAGATGATGACATTATCAGGGTTATTTTTCAAAGCTCCCCCCAGAGCCACAGAAAACATTTTACAGCTGTTTTCACAGACTGAGTTGTACTCGCTGTGATGAGTAAACTGATGCTGATGTGTAAAATCAATGAGGTGCACCTTTAAACTCCTAAATTTGAGATTTACATAGGGAAACAGACACACACATTAGCATCATAGGGCTTACACACAAGAAAGCATTGCACATGTGCTCATACAGACACACCCCCTATCCAAATAGGCTGCACACACCTCCAGTCCAAATACTCAGGTTATGGGTCGGTTCAGTGTAACCATATAAATATCATATTAGTAATTACTGAGATTTGGACATCGGTCATTCTTTAAATAAAAATAAAAAAACATACCCTCCACAGCCCAAGTACCACAAGTCCGCCTGGAGACCCCTACTGCCCAGGCTACTTTAAGTTTAAAAAGGTTCAGTATTCAATGTCAACCAGCCCACGTCGGTAACGCAGCGACCCGCAAAAAAATCACTATCAGGAGTTATTTACTGTTGCGGAGTGAATAGGATCCTTTCAGAATACATTCTAGCTGCTATGACTCGTATTGATATACCGAGGGTACGGTGATGATTCGGGCTTTTTAAAAAGCTGATTCACAGCTCGTCAAAGTCAACTAAAGTCCGCAGAACAAACAGAAAAGCAAAAGAAGTAGAAACTCACCGGAGAAGTTCTCCAGCCGTCTGGCTCAGTGCTGCTGTCTCAGTATATCGTCATGTTAAAGCTACACAAGAGGTTAGAAGGGGGAGAGAAGTGAAATGTCCGATCCTTATAAACACAAATAAACACTCTGCCCTCATGCAAAATGTCCTCTTTGGAATCTGCCAGCCGTTCGTGGCAATAATAATGGCTTTATGTTGCGTCTTTACGCACTTCGTTTCCATCTGGTGAACGTTTTTCATCAATCGGAATCATTTGAAAACTTCGGTGGAAGGGACTTATTGAGACCCCCTGATGTAAAAAAGTAGAGACCAAGTATTTGTCTCCCCCCACCAACACCACAACATCTCTTGTGGAAAATTGGATCACTTTACCTACAACGGGACCCACTTCCCCCCCAGAAACGTGATGGACAGATTGCGTGAAAAGTCAAATTGCCTCAAGGAATGTATGCGAAGGAATTTCCCTGCATGAAGAACATATTTAACAAGCCTTTAAGCTGTCAGGAATGCTTTGTGGTCTGTTGGCCAAAGGGAGAGAAATATGTTAATAATGTAAGCTACTGCCATACCAAATATGGCAATATTGTTACGTCTGAGCTCTGGTGCGCATCTGGAAACGCTTAGCTCCTCTGAATAAAGGCACTGGAAAGCCAGAAATAGACGCTGTTAAACGTATTTCTGCCCACACCTTTAGACTCACAGAGAAAAACCTACAGCTATTTTAAACGTGGCCACTGCAACATGCTATAAAAATGTATTTAACAATATGCTTTGATCAGCAGAAACTGTACTGACGCAAAAATGACGAGTAGCACAATATTCCTACGGGTACACTGTATAACTGATACTGAAATCACTTTAAAGTGAACTTATAACACTTTTTCTACAACCTTAGATATTACTTTAGGATGTGATCTAGCATTTATGTGATATTTTATATCATAAGACACCAGTTGCAAGCAGCTTTAAAGCTTTTTAACCTCTCCACTGCACTGAACCCAAGAAGTTATAAATATCAGATGATCTCTTTCACTCATAATGTATGTATGTATGAAATGAAAAGTAGGGGGGAAATAACCCCTGAATTATCTAATGACAGAAAAAAAGGGAGAGTAGAGCCCCTAAAGCCCACTACCTTTAGAGAAAAGTCCAACTGAACTTGAGTTGATAGATGTGAGAAGCGAGCAGAGGAAGAAAATGAAAGGGGGGATAAACAAGAAGGGAAAAATGTGAGACGGAAAAGTGTGTTCAGATGGGATCCAGGGGGGAAAAATCCATCTGAGAAAGAAAAAAGAGAAAGGTTTAGACAGGGTGGAGCTTAGGTCTTGGATGGAAAATGCGCCGAGAAACATTCCTGGCATAGTTTGGGAACAGTTCAGCAGGCAGCCCAGGAACGACGTCAGCTTCCCACTATGGTATAAAAGTCCGGAGGTGGCCGGACCTCAGCAGACTGCAACCGCTTTACCGAAAGCTTCATCTACTCTAAAGGAGCCTCTAACACTAGAGACTATAGACACCAGCAAACAAGAGAGACAGACGACTGAGTGAGGGAATACTTAAGGACTCCTCCGAAGACAGACTATACTTACTTTTCATAAAACTGGGAACAGGATTCCTCTTGAACACACGGAAGAAAATTTATCCAAGATGCTGACCCTTACTGTTGTCCTTATCTGCCTTGGAAGCCTCAACTTGGTGAGTTATTGTTCCCTTACAGTCTGACAGAGAAAAGTTCCAGCAGTTATAACTTTCTGTATTCAGCCTAAGGAGAGGGACATAAGTGTGTGTCTTGCGACGGGATGAAATGCTGAGAGATTTGATATACGTTTTGGGACTTTCTGTGTGCCATGACTTCAAAAGTTTCAGTCTTTAATAGATTCTGTTGTTGGCTGTATAGGTCTTCTCCTCCTCGTCCTCCTCCTGCCCCTCCATGTGTGATTGTCCGCTGGAGATGCCCAAGTGCGCACCCGGGGTGAGCGTCGTCCTGGACGGCTGTGGCTGCTGCAAAGTTTGCGCCAGGCAGCTGAACGAGGACTGCAGCCTGACCGAGCCTTGTGACCACACTAAAGGGCTGGAGTGTAACTGTGGGGGCAGCTTTGCTGCTGCTACTACTCGTGGCATCTGCCGAGGTATGTATAAAGACCATTCAGCTCCAGATGTGCATGCTTTTGAATTAGTCTGAAGTAGTTTTTTCTTAAATAAGGGGCTTTAATTCAGGAGTATGGGGACCTGTGTGATTTCAGCACTGTGGAATGCAGATAGAAGGAAACTTAGACTAAACCTCAGAGTACAGACAGCCCACTGTGGAGGGAAAAGACTCCTCAGGCAGCCTGAAGAATTTCACAGTTTAACTGATCCTTACCTGGCAGCCATGTGATGTCTTCAGCAGACTTCTCTGAGCAGAGCAGGAAAGAATAACATTCCTTTCCTCCTGTTTTTTCTCCCGCTGCAGCCAAGTCAGAGGGCAGACCATGCGAGTACAACAGCAGGATCTACCAGAACGGAGAGAGTTTCCAGCCCAACTGTAAACACCAATGCACATGCATTGATGGGGCAGTGGGATGTGTCCCGCTGTGCCCGCAGGAGCTCTCCCTGCCCAACCTGGGCTGTGCCAACCCCAGACTGGTCAAGGTAGCAGGCCAGTGCTGCGAGGAGTGGGTGTGTGATGATGGCAAGCAGACAGACATCCTGGAGAAGATCTTTGGCAAAGACATGCTGACTGATGAGTTGGAAAGAGACCTCACCAACAGGAACGAGCTCATTGCTATTGTCAAGGGAGGACTCAAGTCTCTAGCTGGTAAGAAAGTTGTCTTTCATCCTGGAAATTCTTTGTTTTTCTTCTGGATTCTTTAAATATGTAGAATTCTAAGATGCTAATGTTTTTTTTATTTCTTCTTTTCATGGCAGCATTCAGACCACAGCCTGAAGTCCACATGTTTGACAATCAGAAGTGCATCGTCCAAACCACACCCTGGTCCCAGTGCTCCAAGAGCTGTGGAACAGGCATCTCCACCAGAGTCACCAACAACAACAGCGAGTGCAAGCTGGTCAAAGAGACAAGAATCTGTGAAGTGCGGCCATGCACCCAGTCACCTTACTCCAGTCTGAAGGTAAGCCTGAGCCACCATGACTGTGTGATGGAAGCATGCATGATACTGAAAATGCTTCACTGCTGGGCCTGAGTACACAACTAATCTCCATCTCCATCTTGTTTATTCCTCTGCAGAAAGGAAAGAAGTGCAGCAGAACCAAGAAGTCCAGCCAGCCAGTGAAGTTCACTTACGCCGGCTGCTCCAGCCTGAAGAAGTACAGGCCCAAGTACTGTGGAGCCTGCATGGACGGCCGCTGCTGCAGCCCCCATGACACCAGAACCATCCGCGTCAAGTTCCGCTGCGAGGACGGCGAGACCTTCAACAAGAACATCATGATGATCGAGTCCTGCAAGTGCACTTACAACTGTCCTCATGCCAACGAAGCCTCCTATCCCTTCTACCGCCTCTCCAACGACATCCACAAGTTCAGAGACTGATTGGTGAAGAACGTCCAAACCCCTCAGCAAGAGAAAGAGATCATCAGCAGTACTGGCAGCCAATGGCAGTCCAGTTGAATGCAGGGGTGTAAATAGACTACAAATCAACTACCAGCTTCTTGTTGTAACTAGATTCCCAAGGAATTGTGGGCTTACATCATGAGGACTCAATGAAGTGCACTGTTTGCTGTGACTACATCAGCATTCTTAACTAAGAACTGCTTCATATTAATGGAGCATCCAAGTAGCTTCGTTATGGAGCAAGATGTAATTAATATTTGTACATTTATGCTAGTCGCTGATATCAATTCACTGTGTATATTTTGATCCTTTACATCAGACATGACACAGACTGTAGACTTGTGTGTGTATATGTAGATATGCACACGCGCAACTTCAATTAGCATACCATCCTGTATCTTAAGAACAAGACACCGAAATGTAACCTCTGGACTTGTTTAACAAGTGTGTGGTTTCATTCCTTCCTGACGTGGGCATTATTGTTCATGTTTTGTGGCAGCTATTGAACTCCCTTCATGAAAAAGACAAAGCGAAACATGTCAAAGGATGAATGAATGTTTTTATTATTGTTATTAATATTATTTATCAAAAATGTAGCTACTTTATTTGGATATTATGTGTCATACTGGAATAAATTGTAAAATGATTTAATTTTATATGCTACAAATAAAACTGATTTATTTATGAAATATGACACTGCCTGAGTTCAGTCTGTTCAAACTACACTGCAGGACGGTACAAACAAAGTACAGTCCTCACATTTGCGGGGCTGGGTAAGGGTATTTAAACTCACTATTTCCAGAGAAAATCCTGCTGTTATATCATTCTGTAGACCCAACAGATTCTCAGACAGACACCGAGCAGGGTCAGTCTGTTCTTATATAACACAACCTTGGACACTCTCTTTCCTGACTTTCTGTGCTTTGGAATGTCATTCTGCAGCAAGCTAGCTTGCTTTCATTTGATCTGGCTAAGCCATACACTTGACTGATTCTGAGAGGGGGGAAAAAAAGATTAAGTCCACGAGTAGCAATGAGTATGGGAGTATGCCAAGAATCTTAAGTGCTGCTCTGAATGGGCTGGGATTAGACACCATGCAAGAAGGACAATGACTATTATTGTATACAATGGGCTGTATACAAAGAATGCATTCCCAGGGAAGATTTTTTTCACACAGCAAAATAGCACTACCAAATTGACCTAATTCATTAGCAGTTGCCTTTAAAAGTGAATTAGTTGCATTGGCCTCTGTTGGCTCTTAAACTGCAGGGGTCTGCTAAACAGTTGTAAACAGCCTTGCGAAGTAGGGAGGGCTCAAGTCTCCCTTCCAGGTTTCAGTTTAACGGGCATTAAGAAATACTATTATGAGGTAGAAAGGGGTAAGGACAGGAAACAGGGGTAACATAGTTGCTTCTGTGGTCATAGAAACTTCAAATTCAGTTTTCCAGCTACAGAAACAGTGTGTTGCTACTGTCACAAACACCACTTGACTCCTCCTCTGGTGTTTTCATAATGTATGTTTACCTGAGCTCAGATTGGTCCTGTACCCTTTTAGTTTTATGACCCCGAGGTACATGAAACCCAGGCAATATGAAATGTATAATTAAAGAAGACATCAAGTATCAGTCTGAAAAGGATGTGTTATTTTTCTTTTTGAGTCACAGGGTCTGATGGCAGAGGTTTGCACCTGGTACAGTTTGAACTGGGGTAGGGAGAGCAGAGCTCAGGGGCAACGACAGGGAAGGGTTTCTTTTTTTATCCAGGTAGAGGGAGCGGCTCAGGAATGCAGCAGTGGCTCAGAAAG